GGTCTTGTACGAAACCGGCCGGTGATGCTGGTGAGGCTTGGCTGCTGGTGAAGAACTCGCCGGGAAGCCGCAGTGAGGAGCCGTACACCAGCTCGGCTGACGTCGCCTGCAGGTCCGCCTTGATGGTGGAGCGTATGCCCAGGAGCACCAGCGGCAGCACGTCCGTCCATGACGTAGCCTGGTGTGCACGGAGGCTGGCCTTCAGCTGGCGATGCAGGCGTTCCACCATACCGTTGCAGGCCGGGTGGTAGGACGTCGTCCGAGTTCGCTGGCAGCCCAGGAATCGCTGTAGCTCCGACCAGAGGGCCGACTCGAACTGGGCGCCTCGGTCCGTCGTGATGATGGACGGAACGCCGAATCGGGCGACCCAGTGCTCGAGGAAGGCGCGGGCGACCGTGGTGGTGCGGATGTCCGGCAGAGGGATGGCTTCTGGCCACCGAGTGAACCGGTCGACGCACGTCAGGAGGTACGAGTGCCCTCTTGACGGAGGCATCGGGCCGACGAGGTCCACGTGGACGTGGTCGAAGCGTTGCTGAGGTGGCTGGAAGGTGCCGACGTCAGACTTGGTGTGCCGGCCGATTTTGCAGCGCTGACAGGCGAGGCAGGTTCGGGTCCAGCGGCGCACGTCGCGATCCATACCGGGCCAGACGAACCGCTTAGAGACGAGCTTGACGGTGGCCTCGACGCCAGGGTGCGACAGGTCGTGCAGAGCCTTGGCGAAGGGCCGGCGCAGCGCCTCTGGGAGGACCGGCCGAGGCGATCCGGTGGACTCGTCGCAGAGCAGACGGAGTCCATCGCCGACCGGAATGTGGCGCAGGCGCAGTGAGGTGTCTAAGGCCTCGAGGTCTTCCAGCGAGCCGTCTTCGGACTGGGCCTTGGCGATGGCAGTGAAGTCGGCGAGCGGGGGTCGCGGCTGGGCCACCATCGAGACCGTGCGTGACAGCGTGTCGGCGACCACGTTGTCCTTGCCAGGCACATGGCGGATGTCAGACACGAACTGGCCGATGTAGTCCAGGTGGCGGACCTCTCGTGGCGAGTAGCGGTCGGACGAGGAGCCGATGGCCGTTACCAGCGGGCGGTGGTCTGTAAAGACGATTGCCGACCGGCCTTCGATGGCGTGCTTGAAGTGCCGGACGGCCAGGTAGATAGCGAGCAGCTCGCGCCCGAAGGTGCTGTACTTCTTCTCTGCAGGTTGAAGCGTCTTGGAGAAGAAGCTTAGCGGCTGCCATTCGCCAGCTACGTGCTGTTGGAGGACGGCGCCCACTCCGCAGTCCGAGGCGTCGACGAAGAGGGCGAGCGGCGCGTCCGGGACTTGGTGTGCGAGATGTGTCGCCGTGGCCAGGGCGTCCTTGACGTTCTTGAAACGCTGCCGCGCCGAGTCTGTCCACGTGACAGGCGCTCTCGAGCGTTTTGCCTTGTGGGTGATTAAGGCGTGCAGAGGCTGCAGGAGCTCGGCTGCCTGGGGGATGAAGCGGTGGTAGTAGGCTACCATCCCCAGGAACCTCCGTAGCTGGGACTGAGTGGTCGGTTCCGGGAAGTCTTTGATGGCCTCGACTCGTCCAGGCAGCGGGCGGACGCCGTCGGCGTCTACCGAGTGGCCGAGGAACACCACCTGCTCCTGTCCCAGGACGCACTTGTGCCTGTTGACGACGACGCCGTAGGTGTTGAGGCGCTGAAGCACTTGGTCCAGGAGCTGCAGGTGGTGTTCGGCAGTCGGGCTGGCCAGCAGAATGTCGTCCAGGTAGACGAAGCAGCCCGGTATGCCGCGGAGGACCTCATCCATGAAACGCTGGAAGGTCTGTCCGGCGTTTCTGAGGCCGAACGGCATCCGAACGCATTCGTAGAGGCCGAACGGTGTCGTGATGGCTGTCTTGGGGACGTCGGCAGGTTCCACCGGGATCTGGTGGTAGGCCTTCACCAAGTCAATGGTGCTGAAGACGGTGCACCCATGCAGGTCGGCTGAAAAGTCCCGCAGGTACGGCAGCGGGTAGCGGTCTGGTACGGTGCGGGCGTTCAGCGCTCTGTAGTCGCCGCAAGGACGCCACTCGCCGGGTCTCTTCTTTGGCACCATGTGGAGTGGAGTTGTCCAGCTGCTGCTCGACGGTCGAATGATGCCTTGCTGGAGCATCTTGTTGAACTCAGCACGTGCGATTTGAAGGCGCTCCGGCGGGAGGCGTCGTGGCCGCTGGTACACCGGTGGACCCTTGGTGACGATGTGGTGCGTCACGTTGTGCTTCACCGGTGTTGGTCCAGGTTTTGGTGAGGTCACATCCGGGTACCGGGCGAGGACAGCTGCGAAGCGAGCAGCAGCCTGCTCCCGGACGAGACGCACTCCGATGGAGCACAGCCTTGACCGCTCGGCGCTGGCGCAGACGGTGCCGTTCCGCAGGAGACGCTGGTTGGCAACGTCCACGACGAGGTGATGTGCGGCCAGGAAGTCGGTGCCCAAGATGGGTGTGGTGACGTCAGTGACGAAGAATCGATGTTTCAGGCGGTGCTGCTGACTCAAGGTGACGTCCAGCAGGCAGGTGCCGTGCACCGCGATCGGTGAGCCGTTTGCCGCGACGAGCTGCTGGCCGACAGGACCAGGGGTCAGTGTGGACCCGTTGGGCAGGCAGCGGCGAGGCAGCACGCTGACCTGCGCCCCGGTGTCGACTAGAAATTGCCGGTCCGTCTCCGTGTCCCTCACGAAGAGGAGTGGCGCGGCAGGAGGGGCGCCCGTGCTTTGCGCCATCAGCACGGGGCGCCTCAGTTTTCCGAGGCGATCCAGGAGCACGGCAACTTGCATCGGCGCGCTTGGGCGCCGAATCGCTGGTGGTACCAACACAGCGTGTCGTCGTGCGGCGGCGTTGAAGGACGAGCCGGTGACGGGCGGCGAGACTGGCGAGACGCCTGGCGCGGCCGGGAACGGCTGCGGTCGCGTCGCACGGCGTCCTCGAGTCGTCGGTTACTGGCCTCCAGGCGCTCCATCTTAGCGACCAGGGAGGCGATGACGGTGTCCAGCGCAGGGGTTGCAGCTGACGCTGGGGCTGTCACTGCAGCAGCGATGGGCAGTGCCGGCTGTGTGTACGGCTGTGCCGCGATCGCTGATAGCCGTGGGTCGGGTCCGCTAGCTTCCAGGTACCGGTCGGCCGCTTCTGCCAGTGCGTCAAGCGTGCTGTCGGCTGGCAGGAGGGCGAGGGCAGCACGGACGGGCTGCGGTAGCCGTTGTTGAAATAGGGTACGGAAGAGCTCCGTATCAACCGGGGCGTCCCCGGCTGCGGCTAGCTCGTTGCGCATTGAGCGCAACAGCGCCGTCGGCTTCTGATCGCCGAGCTGTTGGCGGCCGAGCAGGGCTTGTAGTCGGTCGGCGCGTGACTGTGCCAGGCGGGCTTGGAGCGCTGCACACAGCACGTCAAAAGACCGAGATGACCGGATGACGTCCTTGACCTGGACGGCGATGTTGGCGGGGAGGTTTGCGACGAGGAGCTTAAACCTCAGCTCGTCGGAGTCGACCCCGCTGACGTCGAAAGCGCACTGCACCTGCAGTAGCCACAGGTCGGGCTCTTCCGGAGAGTATGGTGGTAGCCGGAAGCTAGCCATGGGCCGATGAGTTGACTCGGAGGCTGAAGCTGGAACGCTGGCTGGGTCTTGAGCTGCGGCGCCGGACTGTGCGCTGTCCGCCGGCATGACGAGAGGCTAAGGTTGAACAACGGAGATCACGTCGGGGTCACCAATTGTCGTACTACGCTGTGGGTAGCGCTTGGCTGGACGGACGGTCTGTGACAACCTATTGATCTGTGGCTGATCTATTAGAGTGTCCGTCCGAGAGCCGTACGACGGCTGACAGAGCCTGGGGGTCGCGAACTGGTGTGGTAACCGTTACGCCCACCTGGGACGCCCGAGTCGGTACGGCACTTGCGGTGTCGTAACCGGATCGGCGGGAACCAGCAGAACGCTGTTGGACCGGCGGTGAAAGTCGGAACCGAGCACTCGCCCACCAGTGGGGCGTCTGGTCGAGCAGGTCTACCCGCTAAGGCAGCCTGAGCACGAACCAGTGGCAGGGTCCGATCAATGACCGTGGTCCGACCAGGGTGTCAGCGCAATGGCCAGTCAGAGGCGTCTTTAAGGGCGCGGAAGCCCACCTCGGTCGACTGTGGCCGGTGCAACCTAGTCAGGTCGTTTGTGTGAATCTCCGTGTTCTTCCCTCGCCTCAGAGTAGCCGCTCTTCTCCAAATGCCCGAGCCGTTTTCTATGTGTATTGGTCTTGCAGCGAACAGCAGAGTCGAAAAACGAATTGACAATGTCGCCGAAAACCGCGGTCACATGCTGGCCGTTCCTAGTACTACCAATATGCCCGCAGGCGCGGCGAGAGACAAGCTTAACGTATGAGTCACCGTCCGGCTGCCGGGAGAGCCCCTACCGCGACCTTTGCTCACAGTCATGACGTCACGACAATGGGCTCCTAAACGTACGGGCAGCGGCCGCCTCAGGGGTGCCGCCGTGACCTTTGCACGACACGTTCTATAGCGTATGGCACAGCGGTTACTAGAAAGGTTGAGGCCAGCGGCAGGCCGGTTTACAAATGGCAAACAAACTTGACGCGCAATTGACAACAGGTAACAGATTGATTAATAAAGCGGTGACAATATAAATGAAAATGACAATATGAAATGACAAATCGCATAGATGATCCCTACAATGTCTTCAATTTTGCTTATCGCAACGTCTTTTCATCCCAAGCTTTATGGGGATGATAACCGGCTCGCGGCGGCTCACGTAAAATATTGAACTACAATACAGCAGTGTTTCACCAGTGCAAAGTGTACTGAAGTCTGAACTGTGGGTGAAGTTCAAAAATGCAGCCTAAAATTCCAGGCAATCTTCGATTAGCCATAATTCAGGACAGATGGCGATTGGCATGTCTTTGACTGGCATCGTGCTTCGAAGAGTTTATTTTATTGAACGTCCAATCCATGTGCTCGGTTGATTTCCTTGACAACTACCGCGAAAACACGTCACATTTATCATCGTTTATTTCATCATGTCATGTGAGTGTATACCGAGGGAAATGGTATCGTTGTCGCGTGAATGGATTGATGCAGTATATGCAGCTGGACGCAGTCTCAAGTGAGAGGTATCAGGTATACATTCAAATACGCGAATAATGGATCCCCTGACACGGAACTTGCACATACCGTGAGAATTAGAAGGTATTGTTATGCAATGAACCATACCTCAGATCACTTGAACTGCCAACTGAACAAGATAAATATACTTTGAGAGAAGCGAACAAGAATGAAAAAAAAAAACAGGATAAACACGTCATCACCAATTCGAATCAATATGGACCCGAATTCACAAAGGTCCGCTGAAGCCGACCGACGAAACACCGACGATAACCGTGCCACGGTCCCGACCCGCTCCACAACCGCACTCATTGTTCCGGCGCGAGCACCACCCAACCGCCCCGGCGGACCGGGTGTGCGCAGCGCCTGTTGCACACCCAGTCACCAGAGCGCCGCGGGCTAGACGTCCTTCAGCGCCTCCGGCAGCGGGTTCTTGGGGTGCTTGCTCTCAAAATGCTGCTTGTAGGTCTTCGGGTCCGGCATTTGCGACTGAAACAGAAGCAAGTTTTGTCAGGGACTTATCGTACTCCGTCCAATGTTCGTAGATGCAGACCACAAGAAACGAGGTTGCGGTAAAGACCTCAATGGGGCAGGCATGCCGATGCGTTGGCCGGCAAGTGCAATATGCCAGGAAAGAAGACATATTTTTGATGACGCCCCGTCGCTGTAAATATTTCCCTTTCTTATGGTTCTATTTTTCCCGAAATATGCAGTGTGCACCCCTTTCTCCATAAAATGATTTGTCAACTCCACTTTCCACTATAGGTACCATAATATAAGCTTCATATTATAAGAGCACCAGGACTCCAGCGTCCATAGCCTTTCGGTGACTGCGACTCTGGCTCTATCTCCCACTCCGGACATCGCCATGGTAGTAAAGTTCAAGACGGAGACGCTTTTTTAGCCTGTCTAAAATAATCCTTTGCGCGTTCCGAGGCCTCATATTGCAAACACAAGTATAAATAATCATTGAACTACAGGCAGGTTGTGAGGCAACCACAGTCTTCTGCTTTTTACGCTTAAAAAGCCTGTCAAAAACACGAGTAAGGGTCTAGCTTCGACAAGATCTGTCTTGGAAAGGCAAATGAATCTAAGATTTGACATCTAACGGGTATTGAGCATGACTTTGAGTCATGAAATGTCGACTCCGACTCATGAGTCAGAGCAGGTAAGATTTTGGCGACTCCGACTCCAACTCCGACTCCGCGCAGAACTGTCCATTCCGACTGACTCCGACTCCGATTTCGACTCCGACTCCGTAGCCCTGAAGAGCACAACCTGTGCGTAAGTATACAATATACCTACAAATATTTACTTCAGATGGCTTCAAAAGGCTTGTCCAATGCTAAAATGGCACCTGCTTCAAAGGATAATCCTCTCTAAGCAAACCGAAATTAAAAGCTTGAGCTAGCATTTAGTAATAAGTCACTCATAGTATATCTAAGTTGGTACAGCATTGTACTCCCGTCAGCTGAGCGAAATGGATCATGCCCAGGCCCCAGCTGTGAAGACTGATGAGCACCCTTAACTTAACCATCTTAGTTCTCCAAATGTCCAGAATTGCCCGATAAACCCGTCTGAAGGTGTTAGGGTCTGTGATACAAACTCTGCTGAGCTTAGGTTTGACTTATGACTGTCAATCCACTCATTGAACAACTTAGGTCAACTTATTTTGAAAAATATTGAACAAATATCCTCCAACAAAAACAAAAAACACTATTACATCTCTATGTGAAAAACACAACAAACTGAAATTGACACACGACTTTTCTCCTTATGCCAAAATCCAAACATTGTGTCTAATTTTTTTATTTTACTTAATTAGTGATTGAAGGACACATACAGGGGTGGATAATTGTGCCGAGTTGGCGTAGCACGAGCTTTCCCAATTCCACGCCGGCTTGGCTTTGGAGCCGCAACAGACGGCGGAGGTAAAGGTCACCGCTAATGCGGCGACGATATGCTGCGCCCGTGCTACCCCATCTCGGTACATTTGTCCACCCCTGGACACTTAATGAAACATATGCTCTGATAGAAAAGTTTGACAATGATCTATTCATGAACCAACAAGGTCTCATATAAGTCCTTCACCCCGCGTTCGATGTCTCTGGGACGACGAAGATTCTACGTCGTCCCGCCAATCACGTTCCATGGCCGCAGCCGAGCCCCCGCTGAACTTGAACGGGATTGGCTGGACGACGTAGAATCTTCGTCGTACGAGAGACATCAAACGTGGGGTCAATCTCCACTTGCAGCAACTAGTCTACATTGTAGGGAATTAGGGATTGGGGATATGTAGGGATTAGGGATATTAGTGGGTTTCCTAGCACAAGAGAAGTCTCACATTTTTACAATGCAATTTTGAGGCAGAGATGAGAGGAAAATCCTTGAAATCATCAGAATCCCAACAGCACAATAGCAGGTTTCAATTGCTGGCTAGCTAACATAAGTTACTAGCCTTGCAAATGTCACAGTTGTAGGAGAGGCCAGCAGCCGCAGCCTTCTTCTGCTCCTTTAGGTTGTGGCCAGCCTGTTTCTTGGCAGCTGCCTGCTTAGCTTGAGCCTTCTGTTGTGACTGAATTTTCTGCTGGCCTCGCGCCATGGCTGAAAACAGACAATATTGACAATTGACACCTCAACAATTACTTGTTTATTCGAAACCAAACGAGATCGACAGAATGGGATGCATTTAAGGATATTTCACTGATATTTTTTGCTGCTAAACCTATGCAGCATACTGAAGCAATGATATACAGCAATTGTGGTCAAAAAGTCACTTTCAAATACACCTCAAGATGAAATGCATGCCTCATCTCTTATTTGTTTGAATTTGACAGTTTAATATTGAGACATATCCCATGTCCTAAAATTTTACTTTTCTTCAACAATAAGCATCATATTAAATGTTAACTTATAAAGCAAGTGTTTCAATTACTTGAAGCATTAATAACAGTAGACACGTGTCTGCCAAACAATACGAAAATAAAACTTGTATTCAATGCATTCTTCAGTTGTGAGCCACCTATCAAAAGATTCTATGTGGTATTTGAGGCAGAAACAGTGGCATATAATATGAGTAAAATAACAATGCCGTTTGATGAAATTAGCAGACAGATAAATAAATATTATGAACTTACCTACACTCCAACAACAACCACGAGAGGAGAAAGCCAATAGAGAACCAGCTGGATGCGCCGTTTTGTGTCGCGCGAGAGTTTTTCGCCACGTTTGCAAGATGTGCGCAGTTATTGGTTGGGAGGGCTGTTGAACTCCGCTGCTAAATTAATTTCATGTAAAGTTAAGCGCTGGGCAGCTTTGAATGTTTCCAACATCAGTATTGTTTTTGATTTAGGAATTCAAACATTTGTAGCACCCTTAGAAACGTAATTTTTGCAAAAGATTAAAAAGCTAATTGTCAATGCCATCGCGATTTTCTCTTGATTTCGCTCACCTACGCCAGCAACACCATCCCGTCCAACACAAGTGTTTGGACGGGACCAGACCGACCGGAAGAAGTAATGGGAATAGATAAGTGATAACGATGGTGAGGAGGGCACCAGCCGCTACCTGATTCAGCCCTTGTTGGCGATTTAGCTGAATGGAGGCAGATCAGTGATAGGTACTCTATCGCTAGATGGCCGGAGCCAACTGGTTGCACCCCTCGGACAAAAGGAGCCCCGCACCGGCACCCGCGTCTCGAGGGCGAGAGCCGTGAAGCAAGTTTGGTTTGAACCAAGTGTTTCAATGGCGATACCCTCAGCCGCCGCCCCCAATCAACCCAAGAAATGAGGGAATGAAAAAGATTACCTAATTGCAAGGGATGAACAGGCGGGATGTTCCACTCCACCACTCGCTGCTTGCAAGCTGCACGTTTCTTATAGGTATCTTGAGCTGCACATCGATTCTGAAACCGCTGCTTTCGAGCCCTCGCCATTCACCAACACTCTCGGCCGCACTTGATGTAGTGCGTCACGTCACCTCACCACTGACACAACCTCTTGCCACTGAAATTCCCGGCAGACTAACCGGCACACCGCACGCCGAGCGGAGGTGGTCACCTCGAATCGATAGTGCCCCAGGGCAAGGCGATATAAGTTCGGCCGGTCGTGGTCTTCAGTCGCCAGTGGTCAGCCCCACGGTGACTATAAATAGTCAGTCCCAGGGCACAGGCAACACCGTTCCCGGTGCTTCTAGCATTCTACTATCCTCAGGATACTGAAGTCCTTCTCCCCAACGCCGCAACGGCCCCTCCGGGCTGGACAGGCAACTTTATCTCATGCGGGCTGCTCCCTTGGAGCGGCACCGGCCACCGCTGCTCCCGAGGGAGCGCACCCCGTAGCCGGGTGCAGAGAGTGCTTGGGGGGGGGGGCTGGTCGGCCTGTCCATTTGGACGGGCTCAGCCCCGGCGACTCTCTAGGGTGCCTGCCCAGACCAGACCAATGTCTCCCCCTAATTCCTATCATCCTTCCGGCTCTGAAATGGTCTAATTGGACCGAAAGGGCCTAACCCAACAAAACAAAACAAAAAAACTTGGTGTAAGTGTCGCGCAAGGTGTCGCGTAAACTCCAGCGGCATGTCAGTCTCCACATTCCGTGGTGTAGTGCGTCGTGTGTTCTGCTATCCTGTATGAACGTCCCGTTTAGCTAGTGTTGTGCCCCTGGATGTTGTGCCTAGTATATGGCCTTGGTGCTGTGACTGTGTACCACTGCAGTCTAAATGTTTAACTCACCTGTTTAACTCACCTGTTGGGTTTCCTCAGCCTTGCTCTTAGGAGAGGAGTGAGAAGGAGGGAAACCCAAGTCGTTCAGAGACGCGCCAATTCCAAAGAATATAGTTGGACACAAGCTGGGGCCAGTGGGTGGGCCTTGAGTCAGGGAACTGGTGTTGTGCGTCTGCGTGTGAATTGTTGTGGAAACTCGACAACAAGTCGACAAACTCGACTCGTAGTTGGTGCAAGTCGACACAAGTCGACAAAACTCGACTCGTAGTTGGTGCTAATGCTCCACAAAGAAAGAAAGAAAGAGAGAGAAACGGCTGTGAAGTGTAACGCAAATGCTGTCTCACCCGCAAACCAAATGGGTGAATGACATGTGAAGGAAGGCCAGGCATGGTGGGAATGCAGAAATCAGGAGGCAAGTGGTGAATGACCGATTGGAGCTCCATGGCGCATCTGACCCTGTCCTTGCTTGTTAAGAACGGGGCGCATACCATGGAGGGGGGGGGGGGGATCCAATGGTTTGACATTATACCGATCGTAATCTGTCATATAACGTAGCAACATTAGACTGAGTAATCGTAAAGTTTCGCGCCCAACACCTCTGCGAGTCCTCCTTTGAATTTCTGCAGGGAGGTTTCTTGCACTAGCCACCCCGGGAGGCTATTCCATTCTTTGACGACTCTGTGTGTGAAGTATCTGGACCTCGCGTCAACATGCGCGCGGATGACCTTGATCTTGTGTCTGTGACCACGTGTTCTTCCATTTACTTCCAGACTCCACAAATCCTCCGGCGAGATGTGACAGTGTCCATGAAATATTTTCCAGCACTTCAAAATATCAGCACGAAGAAGGCGACCCTGCACAGAAAAAAGATCAAGTGTTTTGAGCCTGTCACCATAGCACGTATCTTTGAGGCCCAGAGTGTTACGCGTCCATAGTCTCTGGATTTTCTCTAACTTCTTGAGATCTTGAACATATCCACTGTTCCACACAGATGAAGCGTACTCAATAATGGGCCGTATGTGTGTCTTCCAAATGAACATCATGAAGTCAGGTGATCGGCAGCGAGTAGATCTAAGAAAGTTATGGACAACGCCCCCAGCCTTTCTCGCAGCAAGGGCACAGTGCTCGTGGAATTTTAAACTGTCATCCACGGCGACGCCCAGATCAGTGTAGGCCGAAACGTGCGGTATTTCGGTGCCATTCAATGTGTATGAAATGATGGACTGGGCGTGATATCGGCGCCGAAAATGAAGCACAGCGCACTTTCGTAGGTTAAGCGCCAGCCCCCACGATGTGGCTGTGTCGTACAGTAGGTCGATGTCCCTCTGGAGATCTTCCGCTGTAGTCAGAGGGGCTTCTCTGTCCATCTTCATATACACTTTCAAATCATCCGCGAATATCTTGTAGCTACTCGTCAAAGTTGAAGCGATGTTATTTATGTACAATAGGAACAAAATCGGTCCTAGAACGGAGCCCTGTGGTACACCACTCAGCACCTCTGTTGGCTTGCTTGTCGTGTCTTTAACCAGCACTTGCATTTCTCTTCCCACCAAGAAATCATACAGCCAGTCAAGAAGCCTTCCCTGCACACCGATCTGTCTTAGCTTCTCGAGGAGGATGGCATGACAAACCACGTCGAATGCTTTCGAGAAATCGAACATGATGAGGTCGACAGGATGGCCACAGTCAAGCGCGCTAGTGATTTCATCATAAGTGAGAATCAGCTGGTCCTCCGTGGAGCGACCTGGACGGAAACCAAACTGTTCCTCAGAGAGAATCGCATTTTCGCAGAAGTAATCATAAAGTCCACGGAAGATCAATCTCTCAAGACTCTTACAAGCAACTGACGTCAGTGCAACCGGCCTGTAGTTCTGAGGGTCGTGACGGGAACCTTTCTTAAAGATAGGCACAATCAGTGATGACTTCCAGGCTCGAGGAAGCTTCCCCTCTAGAAGGGACCGACGGAAGATAATATACAAGGGACTGGTGAGGGTATTGGCACAAGACCTCAACAGTCTTGGGTGCAGCCCGTCCAGTCCCATGGCTGAGTTTGGATCTAGACCGGTGAGCAGTGTGCGTACGTCAGAGGGGCCGAACTCGATCTCGCTAAGTGCGGCCTCGCAACGCTGATGAGGAGCCGGCTCCTCCGGCACCGCAGCAGTGTGAATGTCAGCAAAAGCACGAAGAAGACAGTCTGCCATTTCCCCCGGATCATCAGAAATGGTGTTTGGGTCCATGCGCAGTGGACCCACGGAGGAGCGGAATTGCTTTTTATGTCTCATGTAAGAGTGAAGAAGTTTCGGATTTGCTTTGGATCTTGCTATCAGTGACCTTTCGTACTCTATCTGGGACCTATGAGCGTAGGATCGTATGTTATTGTTGGTCTCGAGAAATGTTTTCAGTGCCAAGCACGTCTCAGGCGACTTTCTGCCAAGCATGGATCTGATATCCTTGTAAGCTTGCCATGCTTCCCTACGCAGGCGCTTCAAAGACGATGGAGGGTTTGACTTCCAGGGGGGTTTCATTGGTCTAGTGTCGTGCATCCTTCTTGGAACGTGTCGGTCTATGAGTGGGTTCATGATGGACAGCAATTTTGTGAATGCTTCGTGCGAGGAAAGCTGTGAGAATTCTGTTCCCCAGTCAATGCCCTCCAGCTCCGCATTCGCATGTTCCGTGTTCCGTGGTATTAGTGCTGTGTGCTATGTTAAAGTCTACTTTAAGTTGTGATAGTGTTGTTTTGTGTTACGTTGCTGTCTCCGTGTCCATGCTCCGTGGTGCTAGTGTCGTGTGAAGTGTTGCAGTCTCCTTCCTATGGTGCTAGTGTCCTGTGCAGACAGTGTACTCTTGCAGTCTCCATGTCCCGTATTGCCAGTTTCATGTGTATTGCACTTGGTCTCCATCGTGCTTCTGTTGTGTAGGTACTGCTGTGGATTCCATGTCCCGTGGTGTATGTGTCGTGTGCACTGTTGCAATCTTCATGTCCCGTGATGCTACAGTCCTGTGTGTTGCTGCAGTCTCCGTATCCCGTGGTGTTAGCATCGTATCTTATGTTGAAGTCTCTTGCAAGTTATGCTAGTGTTGTGTGTTACGTTGCAGTCTCCATGTCCCGTAGTGTTAGTGTCGCGTGTACTGCTACAGTCTCCATATCTCGTGATATATAGCAACAGGATGTGGAGACTTTTAAGTGCCGACACTTATAAGCTTCCATCGTCGACAAGACGGCTTATACGTAAGTTTCGTGTGTTCTGTTACAATCACCATACCCGCGGTGTTAGTATCGAGTGTATTGTTGAAATCTCCTTCAAATAGTGTTTGCTGCTGTTTGCTCTTTGCTGCAAATGCCGCTTGTTCGTCAGTTGGCCAGCGAATGCAGCAAAGCGGACACAATCCAGTGTATGGGACTAACAGGAGGTGTTCAGTGAATTCTGGACAACGTAGTTCGTCCAGAATCCGTAGTTAAACGTGTTCCAAAGTATAACACGTTTAAATTTGTTATCCTTTGGAAGATCAATTCATGTGCATATTTTAATTCGATGCTATTTATGAGGAAACTGATGGTTGGAAAGTTGATGAATTTGGCTAAGCATAAAATATTGAGGCTTCTTACGGTGACAGCTGGTGGACGCAAACATGTTGGCATCGTTGGCATGAGGCAAAGTTTGCGAACTGAAGGTGTACCTAACTGAGGAAGGTATAAATAAAAATGGAATGTTTCCGCGCAAAGATACCCT